TTGCTGATATTGCTTTTCATTGGTTTTATGTGTATGTTGTCAATTTCTAGCAAATTTTTGTTTTGAGTATCTGGGAGTTAAATAAATGGGACCCAGTCTGCCTAAATGTGCTTGGGATTGTGGTCTTCATAGTTATAGCATATTATCCAATAAATTAATTAATGCATTGTGAAAGGCCAGAGCACTGACCAAATTTCTTTCAAATATTGGCTTAATATAAGTTTCAAGCATGTGGGAGACAGTTTCCCCACAGTTTCCCCTTTCCCTCGCATTCACGCCCGATAGTCCATGGCTGTCAGTCCCACTGACCTGGTTCACATAATCACCACAGTTCACAGTGGTTTAAGCGATGGTAGACTGTAGCACATGCTGGCAAACATTTTTAATATCCAGTCCCTGGTTTCTCATGTCATCTAAACTTGGGTGGCAGGGCTTGTTTGAGGGCTAAACATGGTCTGTTGGGTTGTGAGCAGGTCACCTCCCTCTTTGCTTCTCCTTTCAAACTAAAAATGAAACCTTAGAATTGCAGTTCTTCATTGAAACTTGTCCGGTTGCAAAACAGTATACATCAAAGAAGCCTTCTACTAGAGTGGTGGGATAAGCATGTGCCTATGTAAAACGTGAAATCCAATGGAAAACTTCCCCCTTACAGTAAATGCGGCTTCACCCTCAGTGCCAGGAGCTCCTGCTTGAGGACTAGACAGTAGGAACACTGTTGCATTCTGCCTGGGTCAAGGACTGGCTCTTGCATCTGCATCCCTCCCACCCTGAAAACCCCTCCGCCCCTTCCAAAGCAGCCAGATTCTCATGAGCAACTGAGCAACTTCACTAGGCAACCTTGAATCAGTCAACATTTCCTCCCCCTCTTGTTCCTCTGTCTCCTCTTCAGAATACAACCCATCTATTTGAGCAGTGTGTACGTAATGACTGAGAGAACAGGCCCCTTCTCTCCATGTTGTTGGGTTGTTTGCAGGTTGTTTAACCCTCGAACATCTCCTGCTGTTTGGGTTCAGATGACACAAACAAACTTACCTGGGGGTTGAATAATCAGTCCGGCCCCCAGCTTGCACTTGAACCCATCAAGACTTAAAGAAGCCATGGTAGGCTGTGGTGATTGTGCAAACTGCTGCATTGGGAAGGTTCGTGCATTCTGCCTATGCAGTGTGGATTGTCTGTCTGATTGGCTTGCTATGTCTTGTTCCAACCCTACTGAACCCTCAAGCCTCCGTCCAGCTTCGGCATGTATCCCACATTCTTTATAATGGAATCCACATCCTGGATCCCTTGCTCCTGTACTAAAGCAGCAACATTTTTGCTATCAGTCTATTTCATCTTTGGGATACATTTTCCTTTTACTGGGTCCCACTGGAAAGTTTTGATTCTTCCAGTGCCCTGTGCCTGCCTGCATTTCCAATAAAAACTGTAAAGAATTTCATGCCCATTTTGTTTTATATTAGTGCACTATTAATTTCACCAGCCTGTGCTGTTTATTCCATTCATCAAATTCCACTCATCACCTCCACACTGAAGTGGCTCCCACTCCATATCTTGTGCTAGAATTGAAGTTTTTTCTCTGCTATGCACCACAGTTGAAGGGCAAAGGCCTGGTTTCCAAGAATGGAGAGGAGCTCAGGAAAGCTGTTTACATGGTGGGGAGTGGGGCTAGTAAACATACTGTCCATGGCAAAAAGGTACATTCCAGAAGATAGCTATGTTCTGGCTTTCCCCCAAAACCTCTGTGTAAACGCTCACAAATCTTCTGTTACAGAGACCACAAGTGCCTGGAGGACCATGCTGTACAAACATTTGTGGTTGTGGAACTCCTCACCCTGTCTAAGTGCTAAAATGTGCAGTCAGGAGGAATCCAGGGCACTCATTGCTCAAGGGAACCCCAGTTCATGGCCTCTTTGCCTGCTCATTCTTTCATTGCCCACCTTTATGCCCATTGTCAGCAAGGAACAGCTCATTCAGAATTCAGAAATACACCATCTCTCTGAAGATTCTTCATATAGCAGGACTTCCTTGTTCTGAAGGTAGTGCTGAAGGGAAGGTACCTAATGTTGAAACAATGCCCAATATTTTTTTACTGGTACAGATTTCTTTACTGTCATGTCTGAATGGTGGAATTTATTTATTCAATTTATATTCCACTATAACTAGTCTGAAGACTCTCTATGCAGATTACAACATTTCATATAAATAACATGACATTTTAAAACACAGAAAAGCAACATAGAATAAAACAGAGAATATGCAGCTGAAGGGTCAAAAATCAGTAAGTTAAAATCTATTAAAACTAAAAGCAGTATAAATAATATCATAATAAATTCTTAAAATGTCTGGAGAAGAGGACTGTTTTTTCCTAGTGCCAAAAATATTGTAAAGATGGCGCCAGGCAACTACTTTCAGAAGGCCATTCCATAAATGGGGCACAGCCACCGAGAAGGCACCTCTTCTATTTGCCATCCTCTTTATCTCCTTGAAGGATAGCTCTCTCAGAAGGGCCTCCTCACCTGATCTAAGGGACCAGGTAGGTACATAAAGAAGCAGGTGGTCATTCAGGTATCCTGGTCCCAAGCCATTTAGGGCTTTATACATTAACACAAGCACCTTCAATTGGGCCCAGAGCTCAACTGGGAGCCAATGTAACTGATACAATATTGGGGTGATATGGGTGCGTGGACTTGCTTGGACCAGCAGGCATGCAACCCTATTCTGTACCAGTTGGAGTTTCTGGACCATCTTCAAGGGCAGCCTTGAAGAGTACATTGCAATAGTCAAGCAGAGAAGTTACCAGAGTGTGTGTGACTGTGGCGAGGCTCTGCCTGTCTGAGTAGGGCCTCAGATGGTAAATTAAATGTAGCTGAAAGAAGATGCTCCTGGCCTGAGATGCAAGGGATGATTTTGGATCCAGGAACACCCACAAGCTGCAAACCCTGTCCCTCAGAGGGAGTGCAACCTCATCCAGGACAGGTTGAAGGCCCACCCTCTGGACAGATGGACTATCCTCCAAAAGCACACCTGTCTTATCAGGACTGAGTTTCAAGTTATTGGGCCTCATCCAGTCCATTACTGAGCTCAGGCAGTGATTCAGGATGGAAACTGCCTCACCTGGGTTAGAAGAAATTGGTAAGTAGAGCTGGGTGTCATCAGTGTACTCATGAAACCTCAGCCCCACCTCTGAGTGACCTACAGAACAACTTGGGCTTTGACAGAAGCGCCAACCATATCACCTGGATATTCCCCCAGAGACCTCAGGAAACCCTTCAGATACAATAGTCTTTGGGGGTGGACTATCTTAATAGACCCCCCCCCTACCCTTGCAGAAGGAAAATGGTGCCAATAGTCTACATTTCACCTGAAATCATCAAATCATTGTAGGCCTGATTTCTGATGCTATGATTACAAAAGTGGACTGGAACATGCCACAAAATCTGGCATCTTCCCAAACATCTACATGGCTTCTGTGCACAGGAGTGTCCACCAACAGATACATCTGTCTGCAGTGAGCTTCTTCACAATGGCAGCAGTGATGATGGCGTCAGTCTCCTTCCATGGAAGCAGACATCCCTTCCCCCTGCAGAGCACTGAACCTGTTTACACCAGTCTGAAAAACCTCCTCCAGAGCTCTGCTCCACCTGCTTACCTCCACCTGCAGCACAGCGATCATGCAGAACTGTCAGAGAACCTGGTACAGGTCTTGTGCTACCAGCATTTGAGGACCTTGTGCTGGTTGTTATCGTAATCAATAATGGGACTGGCCAACATACAGCTCATTCTCAGAATCTTAGCTGTCAGTCCAGCTGAAACAGTCAGCGTCTTGTGCATTCTTGGGAATCCTGCCAGAACATGCATGCACCACAGTCGACTAGTGGCCATTCACGGGCCGTTCTTCCATGTTCCTGCTCATTCATTTCCTTGAAAAGGCTGTATGCGCACTCCTCTGCTGCTTCAGTGATGCTGAGCAAGTGGCTTGAAAGTTGCACATGATCCATTTTGCACTTTTTACTATTTTTATTTATTAGATTTTTAACCCACCCCATTAGCCACATGGCTACCTGGGTGGATTACAGACATATACAATCAATAAAATCATATTAAAACCATATAAGGCAATAAAATACAATATTAAATGCTTCATCATAAAAGAATAAAAGCACACCCATGTCACATCTTCACAGAATCTATGATTACATAAAAGGCATAGCCACGCTGTATATTAAAATGCAACCACCATTAAAACCAATCTAACAAAATACCGGTGAAATAAAAAGGTCTTTGCCTGGTGCTGAAAGGAATACAAAGAATGTGCCAGGCAAAACCCTCTGGGGAGCTCATTCTGAAGTTGGGGTGCCACTTCCAAGAAGGCCCTTCTTCTTGTAGCCATCCTCCTTATTTCCTGAGGAAAAGGCTCCTTCAGAAGGGCCTCAGATGAACATCTAAAGGGTTGGGTAGGTTCACAGGGGAAGAGGTGCTCCTTTACATTCCCTAGCCTTAAGCCATTTAGGGCTTTAAACACTAAAGTTAAGATCTTGAATTGGACCCAGACCTCAACTGGTAACCAGTGGTAATCATTCTCAACTGGTAAACAGACCTCAACTGTTAATCAGCCTTGCTGACAAATTCTGGACCAACTGAAGTTTCTGGACTGTCTTCCACAGAAGCCCCATGTAAAATGCATTGCAATAATCCAGTGAGTATATAACTGTTACCAGGTTTGGTCTGTCCAGAGAGGGCTGCTACTGATAAATCAGGCTTAACTGATAGAAGGTGCTCCTGGCCACTGAGTCCACCTGGAATTCCAGTGATAATTCAGGCTCCAAGAACACCCCAAGCTATGAACCCAGTCCTTTAAGGGGAGTGCAACCCTATCCAAAATAGGCAAGATGTCACCATCTGAACAGACAGTCCCCCCACCAATATTTTATTTTTATTTATTTATTAAAACATTTCTATGCCGCCCCTTGCCAAGGCCTCGGGGCGGCTTACAACATCGAATACAAAATACATTAAAACAATGACAATTAGAGAGACAATAGTATCTCTGTCTCGTCTGGATTAAGTTTCAGTTTATTGGCCCTTATCCAATCCATTATCAAGGCCATATCACAATTCAGAACATCTACTGTCACACCTGCGTCATATGAAAAAGAAAGGCAGAGCAGACATATCAGCCCACACGTTCTGGTGACTTCTCCAAGTGGTTTCCTGTAGATGTTGAAGAACATGGGGGTAAGATAGAGCGGTAACATGGGGGGTAACATGGGGGGACTCCATGGCACAGAGCGGTAATCCCCCAGCACCACCTTCTGAACATGGCTGGTCAAGTAGGAGCAGAGCCACTTGTCATGGAGACATGCCACCCAGCAAGCTTTGACGAGTGAAGCTCCTCCTTCACTTGCCATCCGGGATTTTCTAGACTCAGTTGTTGTGCTGGTTCCTCAGGCTGCATTTCTTCATTTCCAGCTTTACCTTCAGGCTCTTCACCCTCTCCCAACCAGAGAAGGAAGGGCCACTTGGCTCTGTGGAAAGGTATACTAAATCAAGGTGGTAGTGACTGTTTTCCTGTGCTCACCTAAGGCAATTTAGGAAGAATGACCACTTCAGGTTTGTGTCTTATATGTTTAATGGTCTTCTGGAAGTAGCAAGTGAATGCGTCATAAGGATGTTTAGTTCAACAACATTGCGTTGTCATTGCTGCTGCTGCTGCTCCTCTTCCAGAGACAGATGCTTGGGTGTTACAGCTGGTCTTGATCTCCATAATTTCCATGTGGAGATCCAGCTCTGACTGTGTTTCTATTGGGAAATGACTCCAGATGACTTCCTGAAAGGCTGTGCCTAAGTCCATCCTTTTCTGCTGTAAAGAGTAACACTTTTCAGGGTGCCACCCTCTCTTTTCTCACAATAGATGGAAAATGCATTGGGTTGCTTGTACTGGAGGAGCAAGTTGTTGGTAAACTTGACCAAAAGGATTGTTTGCTGGGGAAGCAGGGATAGACTGCTAGCTCAAACTGGACTACTTGTTTGGGATGCCCCAGGGTTTGGGAACCTTAAATTTCTTGAAGGTGGGGCTCTGCATGACTTGGGCATACTAGACACGATTACCTGTGCACTATAGGGCTCAAGGTGCTTCAAATACATTGCAAGGTGGCTTCTGTGATGCTTGTGTGGAGGGATCATGTGAGAAAAAGGCTGGTGAAGATCTGCCCTTCACCAATGGATCTGTGGGTCCCATGCTGTCGTCTGGGAAGCAAACTGACACGGCTCAAGTCCCTGCAGCAACTTTATCTGTTTTGGATGCTAATTCCTCCACATAGATAAGGCTCTTATGCAGGTGGATAGGTTAGAATTCCAGGGGCTAGGAGAACAAGGCTATCCATGGTGGAATATTTCATCAAAAAGGGGACAATGTAGCTATTGGTATGTACCTGTCATGCAAATCTGGAGCAATTTTATCACCACATCATGCTGAAAGATTGTACAATATGAAGTCTTCAAAGGCTTCAACATACTTTTTCAGTCAAATTCAGATTTCTTCCTGGGGGAATCCCTTAGAAAACATTACTGTAGGAGAGCGGAGGAAGGGCAACTTGAAGACACGGCTGAACACAACAACCCTGCAAGGCAGGTTGTGCAGAGAGTCTGTGACTGGTCCAAAGTCACCCAGTTGGCTCCATGGCTGAGTGGAGACTAGATCACCTGAGTCCCAGTCCCATTCTTAACCACTACATCATACAGGCTCTCAGTATGTGTACAGTTTGCTGTAAGTTTACATGGTAAGCTGTCAGTAAGTTTTCAGGATTACAAGCTCCTTTAAGGTTGCTGACCAGATAACGTATGGCTGGTTCACATGGGCAAGAAGAAACTACTGAAACCAATGAAGTCCTGAAAGACTATGGGAAGTAGAGGAGGAGACTAATGAGAAATGGAGAAGGGCACCTCAGTATTCAGGTTTTACTGCAGTGTTGGCACTTTGCGATAAATAAGTGGGTTTTGGGTTGCAGTTTGGGCACTTGGTCTCTAAAAGGTTCGCCATCACTGGTCTAGCCTAATATTTTTGACACTGACTGGTCAAAGCAAGAGTCTTTCCTAGTTTTACCTGCAGATGCCACAGACTGATCCTGGAACCATCTACATGTAAAGCATTTGCTCTAACACTAAGCCACAACCACTCCCCATGTAAAAAGAACTAGAAAGAATAATATTTCTAGAAGCGTATTACAGGATGAAAGAAGACACCACATGTCTTTGACTCATATGCCCAGACTAACAATCTTGTTTCTTTTTCTTGGTGTACAGGGGGCATATGAGGCAAACTAGTATTTTCATCTCTCTAGGTGGATAGCTGAGAGGAAGTTGAAACCATTTTTGTGTTTGCTTTTTATGAAATTGCATCTACTTTGATAATTCATTATAAATATGCCAGTTTCAAAAATGTGCTTTGATCTGGTTCTTTGGTAATTGAATTGCTCTCCTTTAAATTTCCGTCATTTAAAGTAATCTTTATTAAAACATTTTTGCCCCTAACTTCAAATATTGATTTGAGAAAAATATTTAGTGTGAAGAAAATAATTAACAAATCAGAGTATATTTGCTTAAACAGAGTCTGGTGATTCCAAAGTGGAAAATTGATTTCTGTGCTTCTCAAATTAACTGACAGTTAAATCTAACATTTTCAAAATCCAAGTGAATAGGTTTAGGCTCATTAATTTAATCAGGGCATGTCTAGACAGCTCTAATTCTGGGAATCAGCTACACTGGTTTATTTCTCTCCCACTCTAGTCTGCACATACATGGAATGTTAGATTGCACTGTGCTTTGATGGCCCATGAGCTGATTTCTTCGATTTATTTATTTCTTCCATTGTATCCCACCTGTCCTCTCAGGAGCTCACAGCAACCTTGTGAAGTATGTTGAGAGACACTACCTTAAGGTCCCCCAGTCAGCTGCAGGGCAATTTGGGGCTTGAACCCGGGCCTCTCTAGTGCTAGCCTTGCCACCTCTTGCCACCTGGTCATGCCTCCTTCTTCAGTGAGTGCAGAGCACCCTGGCAGGGCACCAGGCCACTCCCCACTCTTCTCTGTTGGGGGCTGTGATACAGAAATGGGAAGATGAAGCTGCAGCCCGGACAGGCCCAGAAGCAAAACAGTTTTTTCCACTGCAGTTCAGGAATTTCGAATCCAGACTGTCCTATTGTGCATCATCATTCATCAAGCCAGAGAGTCTGTGAGGCTTAGTAAGGATCTAGGCCACATCATCTTCATGTTGCAACCCTGTGTTTTTCCACCACTCCATACCTCTTTGTCCTTTTCACCAAAAAGATCTGTTAGGAGGAAATAACAGAATAGCTAGGCAATTTCAGTGGCAGGTAAGAAGCATCTGGAAGCATCTGGATATTCCCAGGTCTTGCAGAAGGCATCTACTGAATAGATACCCCACTGTAAATGATGTGACAGCTTTTCACAGAAGTATGGTCTAATGCAGGGGTGGGCGATTTGTGATGTTTTGGCTTGCAACTCCCATGATCTCGCATGAATGCTATGCTGGCTGGAGCTGATAGGAACTGTAGGCCAACACACCTGGAATGCGAAAAGTTGCCCACCCCTGGGCTACAAGTTGCCCACCCCTGGGCTACAAGGAAATAATTGCGTCAGGTCTGTGGCTGCAACCCAGGATCTGCTTCTGCTGATAAAAACATATGGAGCAGTTATTTCCTTGTGCAGCAGCTACGTATAAGGAAAAATAATATATCCAGAGAATCTTTTCTGCTATAGAAATCTCATCGTTGCAACGAAGTATGCATGCAAGGGCTTCTGCATCTGTGTGCCCAACTGCATGAGTGGTCCCTTCCCCTTTTGGCTTGCAGCCCTCTAGATTGTGGTCCAAAGCTCTTTGATGTAATGCAATATAAAGAGCTTTCTGTATTTTATTACACATTACACAACTGACACTTTACAATGTCAATTCCTGCCTATACTTGTGTACACATTTGCATCTGTGTTAATTGTTTAAATGATGAAGGGTCTTTTTAAGAAAGAAAAAAACTCCCTTCCTAACCGTACAATTAAAAACGATAGATTAACAGGCTTTTTGATGAGATGGAAATATGGAAAATGCCATGTTGTTTAAGTGGGATTTTATATTCGTCTACTGAAGTGAAGAAGGAGCTTTTGTAAAGAAAACCTTTCATCTTAAACATGCAGTGCTCCATCACAACATAATTACCCTAATTTGTATTCCGCAGTAGAAATAGCCCTTTTCTGCTTAAACAAATTAAGTAACAATCACCAAGCCTACATGCTCAGCATTTTTTCAGGTATGCTATTATCAGTCTAGGAACAGTCTAGTTATTCTTTTCAAATGAGTTTTCCAGAATTTTATCTGGTTAGGAAGACTTTGAGAAAGTAAACCTGTATATGTAAGCACGTCTTGGTTATTACCCAGTTTTAGATTTCTGTTTCATCTGAATATTTTTGCCCTGGTTGGCAAGAAATCATGAAACATATGTTTTATACTTTTTTGTTGATTTAGTAAGAACATTTTGCTCATTCTTTCCCATTACAAAAGAATTGCTCAAAGAATGGCTGAAGAATGGCTTGACCACCTAAACAACATCAAAAGCAACCATAAAATGCAAATATATTTTAAACAGGAAGTGCTGGTTTAGTAAAAGTTTGTGGTGGGTCTAATTTAGCAAGAAGATGAGGAGCACGCACGGCTGTTTAGAACAATACCGATTGGTTCTCCATGCTAAAACAATGACATGAGCCTGCTTAGCATGCTCCCTCAGTTCTGGTGGTTCAACATAGATCACTGCAAAGCGGTGCATCGTAAGTGGTTTCCATGGAGTGGGGTATCAGCAGAGCCTTTAAGAAGCGTGGTTGCTTCCAGAGGATGGCAAGATGGGGCACTGGTTAGGGTGTGAAGCTGCTCTCTTCTCACAAAGCTGGACAAACTCGTTCAACACTTTTACTATGTACAATTTACTTTCACCTTTTCTAACTGTTTTTTCAGTTCTCTTTCTTGACGTTTTCAGCAGAATGATTACAGCTAAAACAAATAGGAGCGACAATGTTGTTCTAGTTAGAGGTCTGGCAGGCAAAGGATAGCTTTCTTCACATTTACTATACTGCATGATCGGGAGTTTAACACAAGTAGTGACAAACGGAGGAGAGGGGAATTTATGAAAAAGACCACATTCTATCATTGCAGTTGGCTTTGGTTTCCCAGAAAGGGCTCATTCTTATCTCTCTAGCACCTGCAGTGATAATAGCAATCCTATACAATCTAGAGCAGGGGTCCTCAAACTTTTTCACCAGGGGGCCAGTTGAAAGGTGCCGGTGGTGCGCATGGGCCGGAAAGCTGGTGCCAGCAGCGTGCACAGGCCGGCGAGGGGGCGGGGTGCGCGGCGAGGGGAGGTGAGGGGAGGCGAGGCAGGGGCGGGCACGCACAGCGAGGTGGGCGCACGAGGCAGCGGCTTGCTCGCTGGGAGATTGTTTTCTCTGAGTAAGCAAACCGCTGTCTCCTTGCACGTGGGGCGAGATGGATGGGCGCGCGCACGGCAGGTCCAAATGGGCATGGCGGGCTGGATAAATGGGCATGGCGGGCCGGATCTGGCCCCTGGGCCGTAGTTTGAAGACCCATAATCTAGAGGTTGTCTCAGGCATGATAGAAAATGCAGGTTTCCCACCTCTGAGGTAAGAAATACCACCCTGACCTTGGAAGCCGCTGCCTGCTACTCTCTGAACTTGGAACTGGGCCTGCTGCTCTCCGAAGTTGGAAAAGTGGTCAAAAGGGGGGTTTCTGTGGGTGGGAAGGGGAGATGGGCAGGAAAGCCTGCCTAGTGAAAAATGTAAGGTGGATGGAAGGATGGGGAGGTGAGAGACAGGGCGGTGAAGATCACTCTGTGCTGCACGATCGGGAGCTTTTATAGAAGTATGTCCTAAATCTGCAATCCTTGCTTACCTGGGAGTGTCGGGGGGGGGGAGGTGTTTTCAATTAATTAAACCAGGTTGCTTAACTGCAACTATTGTTCTTTGAGTGGGCATCTGTGCATTCACACATCTGGGCTCTGCACCTGTGCACAGCCTGCTGTCGGGAAGATTTAACAGCAAAGAGCATTTTGTTGGGAACTGCTCCCCCACCTTGCTGTTTGTTATAAATAGGAGGCATTCTTGTCCATTCTCTCCCTTGATGTAGACAAAGCCAAATTAATAATGGATGATAAAATAAATTTGTATACAACACCAAGAGGGGTTGGTGGATAAGCAACCTGGTTTTCTTCTTCAGTCTCTGTGTATCACAGGCATGGGCAACCAGCAAACTTACCTCTGCTTGGATGGAAAACGACTGCTCTTCCAAAAGCACAGTTTGATCTGGCATGGAAGTCAAGCTTGTAGTACTTTGATGAAGGTTGATGGAATTGACTGTGTTGCTGCCTTGCAAATTTCCCATGTATGGATCCCAGCAAGTGGGGCATTTGATGTCACCATTGCTCCTGTTGTATGTGCCTTCTGATGAACTGGAAATTGGAGCCCTGGCGCTTCACAAGTCTGTGGTACAGTCTGCATCACCCAGACTGCTACTCTTTGACAGGAGACAGGCTGCCCCTTATTTCTGCCTCTGTAACAGACAAAGAGTGTTTATGAGTATTGGAACGACTCAGTTCTGGAGTTGTAAAATGCTAGTGCTTTATACATATCTAGAGTATGCAGTGTAGGCTCTGTTGGGCTGAATGACAAAGGAAACAGGCAGGCAACACAATGTCCTGGTTTAAATGAAAAGAAGAAGCGACCTTAGGAAGAGAGGGTCTGACACAGAAATTATGAAGCTTTTGACTTACCAGTATCTATCTCTTGGAACCTTCCTTCCTCATCAAATTCTAGCTTGCCTTTTCAGTTTAACTCAGGCCATAGTTGGAAATAAAATAATTGGTTATAAAGAGCAGTGGTGCAATTTGTTGTCTACTCCGTAACTCAGTTAATCAGATTTTCTTCCATTTGTTTCAACAGAATCAGTGGAATTAATCATCATATGTTCAACTACAGTAGACTCTCAGTTAACCAGCACCCATGAGGATTGGTAGTGCCAGATAAATGTAGTTTCTGGTTGCTTGAGTGTTACTATTAAAAATAGGCCTAATACTTTCTGTACCATACCCTTTCTGTACCATAGGCCCTTTCTGTACCATACCATAAATTATGTATTGACTTGATATTAATATTGAAATACAGTAATTAAAAGCAAATTAAGACCAATAAAGACAAACTTCTACTTTCTGAGACTGAGCCTTAATGATGAACTGACAGTAAATTCTGCCATGAGCACTGGACGACTCTCATCTTTCTGAAGCCTCCTGCACGTTTCCGTCTTCTTGCGGGTAAGCGCTCAGCATTTATGCTTACTTGGGATCTCTTTCGGCAGGCTTGGGTTGAACTCAAAATTGGAATAACAACAGATCCCAATGAATGGTATGCTTACACATGATGAACTGACTGGAGTGGGAGACAAACATGTGGGCTCACTCACAGTGCAGCGCGGTGTGCAGGCACAGCATGCAGATGCGATGCACCAAGTTTAAACTTACATTTCCGCTGGAAACTGATTTTATCTTAATTTTTATTTAAAGTATTATTTCTTTGATTTTTTTGCTGGATGCTTGAGAGTGCCGGTTGCTTAAAGGTAAAGGTTTCCCCTTGACATTAAGTCCAGTCATGCCTGACGCTAGGGGGCAGTGCTCATCTCCATTTCCTAGCCGAGGGAGCCAGTGTTTGTCCACAGTCTCTGTGGTCATGTGGCCGGCATGACTAAACACTGAAGTGCACGGAATGCTGTTACCTGCCCACTGAAGTGGTACCTTTTCATCTACTTGCATTTGCATGCTTTCGAACTGCAAGGTTGGCAGGAGCTGGGATGGAACAACGGGAACTCACCCCATTGTGCAGATTCGAACTGGCAACCTTTTGATCTACCATGCCAGCAGCACAGCGGTTTAAACCACTGCGCCACCTGCAGTCTTTAAGCCTGTTGCTTAAGTCCTGGTTAACCGAGAGTCCGTACTTTGGCTTAGCTGGTCTGAAGTATTTGGAGTTATACCAGCATTACACACTATTTCATAAGCTTGCCCATTTACTTGTCCTCTTATAACAATTCTTCTTAGAGCCTGACCTGAGAATCTCTTAGGCAAGCAGATGTGCTTAGAACTGAGCACAATTACTGGGAAATCAGTGCACCTCCTGACCTGTGGCACTTCAAGCTAATCAAAATGCCCTCCCTGTGCAGTGTGCTTGGAGGTGTGGAATGCATGCAGTCTTGCTCATATTTTCTACAGCTTGCGAAGCACACAGTGTCTTCCTGTATAGCAATCTTTCCACATTATACGTAGTTCATACACAGGTGTGGCATAGGTTCTAGGGAACGTAATACTGCTGTTTTAGAAAGACTGCATCACCAGAATCATTAAAATTCAATATTTTCTTGTTTTAGTCATAGTGAGAGAATTTCAATCACAAGGGCTCTGTGGCCATGGATCTAAGTGATACAGTTGCCCACTATCCCATTGGATAGTGTCTGTACTATCATTTGTGACTAGGGATGTACAGGTTTTGTTAAATCTGTTTCACCGGTGTCTCATGGATTGTTCAACAACTCTCCTTCCATCATCTGCTCATTGATAGAACTGGATTACTTTTAGAGATGTACAAGAGTGCACTAATGTGCATCAGTGCAAATCCATATCAGTACTAGTTTGCACTTGCATTTATTTTTAGTTGATATAATTATTATTACATTTATACCCTTCCTAGTTTTTCTCTTGCGAGGTACTCAATGCAGCTTACCTGGTCCTCCTCCTCCTCTCCATTTTATCCTCACTACAACTCTGTAAAGTACATGTAAGCTAAGCTGAGAGTTAGTGACCAGCCAAAGTCATCAAGTGAACTTCAAAGCAGTATGAAGGCTAGAACCTGGATCTCAGATGTCTTAGTTCATCCACCAGACCGTAGAGACTCCACATTTGCACTGTTTCCTTATCTGGACAGAGATAACCCACATACAATAATCCATGCTTTTGTAGCTTCTCATTTGCATTGTTACACTCCATTATACATGGGGTCGCCTTCAAAAATGATCTGGAAACTCCAGCTGGTCCAAAATAGGTGGTATCCTGTTAGCAGGCTGATATAATTATATCATCCTTGTGCTTTATGATCTTCACTGCTTGCCAGTCTATTTCCAGGCCGATTTCAAAATGCTGATATTAACTCACAAAGCCCTAAATGGCTTGGAACTGAACAATAATCCTAACCCTCTCCCCTCATCTCTGTGTTTACACAAACACCTGTCCTGACCCTAAGATCATTCCCAGGGACCTTTCTCCAGGTGTCTCCACCAAATGAGAGGTGGTCCATGATAATAAGGAGAAAGGCTTTTCAGTGGTGGCACCCTGGTTGTGGAATCACTTGCCCAAAGAAGCTCACTTGGCATTTACAGTGTGATATTTTGCAGATTCTGTATTTTCCTAAGATTTTTAGCACTTCAGTATTTTTAACATGTTACTGCAGTTTTAGATCTTTGCATTGTCACTGGCTTTGATCTTGGTTATGCCTTTAGTTTCCTTCGGTTTTCAATGAATGATTTTATTATGTTTTACTATGTTACACTATTTTATGGTTTTAAGCTTTGTTTTGAAAATCGCTTACAGTACTTCTACTAATGGGTGATATAAAATTATGTTTTCATTCATTCATTTTTTGGAATCGGTAATGCACAGAGAAAATTTAGTGGCTGGATGATTTTAAATTCTATTCCTTTAGATAAAATAAAAAGTAGTGACACTCAGTAAAACCACCCCTTCCTATTTCAGGAATGACTCACCACTTTAGGAATGATCTTTCTTTCCTGAAAACATTTTCAAAACTGCACACTACCTTCTCCAGTACTATAGTAAATCTCATCTAAATGTAAAAAGCAAGGGAACAAAATCAGTGTTAAAACCTAATCCCGGTAATTTTTCCTGCTTCTCTTACAAACCACCCATACAAGTCTTGAAGCATCTGATAGGGTGTTTATGCTGCATTAATCATGGCATTATTTCCTGGTACTGCAATCTTGCTCTACATTAAGCCTTCTTAACTCTGATGGAATTCAATGGGATTTAGATTGGGACTACTGGGAGTAGGATGGTGCCCTATGGAACTAGGCTGATCAGCTTTTGTAACCTGGTGCCCTCCAAATATATAGGACTGCAACTCCCATCATTCCCAGTCAGCATAGGCCATCAAGTTGGGGTGGGCTCTGTTTGTTAGGAAGGGTAGTGTGTAATACTTTCTTCCTCCTCTTTTCAGTCTTAATAAGCTCCTTCCATGCGTAAAGTGTCTCTGTTCCTTGCAAGGAAGGAAAAATGACTTGGGTCAGCCTGTTTCCTTCTTCATCAAGCTTTTTAGTCTCCTATCCAGCTGGTTGCAGACATTCTGGTTGCAGCCTTCTTTCTCTGTCTCTGTAATCCTAGTCAGTTTCCCTTGGCCCCAGTGGGGTGCTTCTTTTGATGTCGCCCTGCAGGTGGTTGCCTATGTATAAAATGGGGCCTGCAAACAGAAACCCTTATGCTGAGCAAATGAAAACAGGGAGAGATGAGGCCATTGTGCCTCTGCGCCTCATATATATGGGAGACCCTGACGTCAGTGCTGAAGGATTTTGTTGTGTAATGTAATAAGCCTGCACAGAGAGGGTAAAGATATATAATTTGGATGCTGCCTCTCTTCTCTGCCAACTGATAGGTTGTAAAAACATTTAACAGGAAGAATAAAAGTTGGATCCAAGATATATGTGGTATTTTTCATTGGATGATTAGTTTTGACATGAAGTTACTGTATGAGTTGGCCTTAGAGGACAAACATTTATTTTAGCTTGAATTACTCTTTATGAGCACTGGCTCCTGCAGCTGGGGCATTTTAAAAAATACTGCATGAAAAAGATAAAGCAATGTGATTTTAATTTATTCTTACTGATCAGCTAAGTGAAGAGACATAAAAATCACTGTAACTTGACTTTGACATTCTGAGTTGAAAATCAGATCCTGATGCTACTCATATCTGCAGCACATAATGACAAGTGCTTGGATACATATATATAAAAACCCAGCACAGATGCGAATATATATAGGCTGTGCTGAAAGTGGAAGTGGATTACAAATGTCCTACTTTACAATGATAATTTAAGAGCTGCCAGAGGTCTGTTCTCTGAATGGTTCTCAGTTTGAATGGTTGTCTAGTCCAAGGCAAAGAACCATAAGAATGAGAGATCGGAGGTGCCGTAGTGATTAAAGTATTGGATTGGGACATGGGAAATGCAGGTTCTGGTCCCCGTTTGGTCATGAAGTTTACTAGGTGACACTGGGCCTGTCGTTGACTTTCAGCCTACCCACATCACGTGATTGTTATAACCAGAAAAAGAAGTGAGAGATGGAAGGTTCATTGCAAGAGGAAAAATGTGGAATATAAATGTAATAATAAATAAATGCAATAAATAAGGTGGAGTAGAACCCTTGAACTGATGCCTCAACAGCTAGCATCTGAACAGCAGTCTGAGAAGGCACCTAAGTCACCCAGTCAGTCTTCCCTAGA